CGCGTGAACAAGGGGCACAGCTGCAATAACACTAACTCAGGCGCGCATGTGCATGCAGTCGTGGTCGCACCTCTGAACTCCGAAGCAAAGTTCTCCCGCGTCCATCTGCTCGATGGTGGATTGGGATGTTGGGAACACAGCGGCATGAGTGTTTGACAGCGGAGATTAAACAACGATGGTGGCAGGCAGGCGAACAAACAAATCGATAGACAAGCAGGAAATGCAAGGAAAACAGTCGGTCAGCTCCACGCACACACACACACACACACACGCACGCACACACACACACACATACACACACCGCACCTTGCTCTGACTCGGTCCCAGTGGTGACTGTTAAGGGCGCCCTTGACCAGCAGCGGGCGCTGGAGGGAGAGAAAGTCAAGCAGGAAGTCCTCCTGTGTAAACACACGCGCATCCACCACGTCAAAGTCACACGTGGCCTGCACACAGTGATGGTGATGGCAGTGGTAATAGTGGTGATGTTACGTGTAACCGTGAGCGATACAAAGCAAATGGAATTGGCGGAACATCGATGGTGAAATTGAATTTTGCCTGATACAGGGTGTCGATGACATGGGTCACCACGGGTACCACAGTCGCTGCCACCGCCACCACCACCATAATAGCCACCACGTGTGACTGACCGGCTGTCTGGAGACGGAGCGCTTGATCTTCCAGCCGCCGCCAACGGTCGTGGAGGACGGGCGATGGGGCAGCCTGTTGCACAACACACGCACGCGCACAGGCACGTACAAAAATATACGCAGGTGCAAGTGAGTGCACTTGCGTTACGCAGCAAACAGGTGAACGATGTAATTCATCACGGGCATGGCAGCAGCAGCACCAGCAGCACCAGCAGCACCAGCAGCACCAACAACAACAACAACAACAACAACAACAACAACAACAACAACAACAACAACAACAACAACAACAACAACAACAACAACAACAACAACAACAACAACAACAACAACAACAACAACAACAACAACAACAACAACAACAACAACAACAACAACAACAACAACAACAACAACAACTTAAACAACAACAACAACTTAAACAACAACCACCACCACCGCCACCAACAACAACACGGCGCACTTGTGGATGGTGTATGGCGGCTCGGGGCGGGTGCAGTCCTCGTCGTTGTCCAGCAGCCACTCAAACCCGGCCCACCGGTGCAAACACACCATGTCCGCGCCTGGTGAACCGAGACAGATGAGTGGATGAGGTATGAAGGATGGGGTGAGGCGGGCGAATGCAATCTTGAAGTGATGATGCATGATCCATGTAGATAAGTAC